AAAAAGAGTGTGTGTGTGTGTGTGTGTGTGTGTGTGTGTGTGTGTGTGTGTGTGTGCGCGCGCGCGCTCAGAGCCTCTGTACTTTCATCGGGGTTGAGCACTATATAAATGTCATTTATTATTATTATTATTACTATTAGGCGGGCATACATCGGCAGACGTCATCAAATACACATGCATAAAGGACAACACCAGGCAAGTAAATAACAAAGAAAGTATTGGATTGGAACCCACAAGGTAAAAGATAAGAAAGAAGGCTACGTGGAACCTGGAGAAAAGTCACAGAGAATGATGAACAGAAAAGTGGGAAGACAATGAGACAATATCAAGAGGCAAGCTCAGAATAGGAAAAGGTGGAACACGTTTGCTCCTATAGCCTGATGCAGGGTGAGAAAGGAGATGATGATGATGATGATGATGATGATGATGATGATGATGATGATGATGATGATGATGAGGATGATGATGATGGTGATGATGATGATGATGATAATGATGATGATGAAAAGACAAGAGGTTCCCTCCCTGCTCCTCACCTTGGCTCCACAGACCAGTGCAAAGTGTATCCGAGGGTCCAGCTTCTGACACACAAATGGTAACCTGGGGTCTCCAGGAGGCAGCTGGGGCTTGATGGAGGCGGGAGGGGAGCGGTTGCCTGGGGAGATACAAGTTTGTTGGGGTAAACATAAAAAAAAAAAATTAGTTAGCTTTACAGTACTTGCCTGCCGCAGAATGGCCAGAACCAGCTAGAAAGAAAAAAAGACGAACAAAGAGATGTGTCAGATTCTCCACACAAGACAAACTCTGCTTGAAGAAACAAAATTAAATGTAGAAAAACAGCGCTTTGATCAATAAAAACGCCACCAGATCATTGTGAAAGAGGGGCTTGACGGAAGGACAAGGGACAGGAGAGCCAGGGGAAGACAAAGAGTAACACGGATGAACAACATGAAAACATAGGCTGGCCTGGTTGTAGCAGAATGTGCAACAGCAGCTCGCGACCGTGAAGGATGGAGGTCATTACACATAAACCTCTGAGTCAGAGATGACACCTCCAGGTATAGCACTTGTAACACAAATAGGTTAAATAAGTGTCGAAGAGTAGAGATAGATGTTACTAAAAAAAACCACATATATATCAAGAAAACGAGAGTGATAAAGACAATAATTATTTGACAGAGAAAAAGGATAGCACTTTCAATACAAATTGGTCACATAAGTGTCAAAGATTAGAGATGTTAAAAAGAGTAACATAATATTATATAAAGAAAAGGGGGAGAGATAAGGAGGTTATGTGCTTGATAGGAAAGAAGCAGCAAACCACACCACAGCACCTGCAAACCACTTGTGTCCTGCACGCTCATTATGCAGTTGGGAGCGTCATAAAAGTTTTACCAAACTGATAACAAACTCACCTCTGAGAATGCCGTGCTCTATGTCCTCCAAAGTGTACACTTGTCCACCGATCATGTAGGCTGTGGTCTTGAAGAAGTGCTGCACGCTGAGCACAGAGTCGGGGAGGGTCTTCTGCTCCTGCAGGCCGTCTATCGTCAGAGCGTTGTAGATGTCTGCGGGCGCCCGTTAAGGTTCACAACTTTGCATTCTGTTCCTTCGCTACATTTTTTACTGTTACACACATAATAATATAATTCAAATTATATATCTACAGTACAACACGGATAGCTCGAATTTGTCGGATCCAGCCTCGGTAGTTTGAGGGATCCGTAGTTCTAAACATATCTTACAAAGATAAAAATAATCATTTTTAAACGGGACCACAGGCACAGTTCGACGGATGCGTGATTTCCAGTCTTCTCTGTTCGACCTGTCCAGGTTAAACTGTAGATCTATATACTCGTAACCCTACAGGTTTGTGATGTTGTTGTTGTCGTTGTTGTGGTTGTTGTTGTTGTTGTGGTGGTGGTGGTGGTGGTGTTGATGTTGTAGTTATTGACCCAGCAACAGCTGGGCTCTCGCTCTTTTGTCCAATGCCAAAAGGTCTGTGGTAAATTCCTGCATGCGGCTGGAGGATGCATCTGATGTGATATGTGTATCATTGTCAGCTTTATTTTTCTCTCACATTGAATGTTTATGAAAGTAATATAAAATTCAAATTTCATGCACATCTACATGAGTTTTTACCATCCCTGTACAGCCATGAAAGATTTCCTACGGGGACAATAAAGTACCACCTTATCTTAATTGTTTGCTTTGATAGTTCGCTACCCTAGAATCACAAACAAATAAAAACACCCACAAACACACAGTAAAAAAAGCCACCATCGAGTAGAAAGGATACTGAGGAAGAAGACTTTCTTCTCCTTCTCTTCCATAGCGCCAATGTCCACACGCTGCAGGTCGGCCGCCAGTTTCTTGTACTCGCTGAACTCTGGGCTCTTCTTCATGCCCACGTAGTCCACTGACTTGCCGTCCGCTCCCATAAACTTGCCCTTCAGTCTGAAACACAACATATAAGGACAATGAAAACACCAACAATAATGATGATGATGGTAATAATGATAATAATAGTTTAGTTTTCGTAAGAGTTTTACAGCGCTTGCATCACAATAAGGTCATGTAAGTGCCGAAGATAAGAGGCATTACAAGAAAGTAACACAAAAAAGGAGGCGAGATCAGGACGATATATGTTTGATAGGAAAGGAGGAGCAAACCACACAAGAGCATCCGCCAACCACCCATTTATAATAATTAATAATAATAAAGATGATGATGATAACAATGATAATAATAATGGAGGAGGGGTGGAGAAAGGGGAAGATGAGGTGGGGAGAAAGGACAGGAAGGAGGAGGTGGAGGAAGAAGAGGAGGATGAGGGGGAGGAC